TTTTTTTCTAAGAGCTTTACAGCTTTACTTTTCACAATTAAGTCTCTGATCTTTCTTTAATTAATCATTGTGTGTGATGTGAGGTAAGGATCAAGTTCATTTTTTCTCATACAGATATCCGGTTGGCCCAGCATCATTTATTGAAAATATTATCCTATACTTAGAAAAGACAGTCTGGGGAATATAATCAATAATGTTGTAAATATTTTTTAGGGGGCCAGTTGGACTCATGTCTTGTCAGGGAGACCACTGCATAAACAGTGTAAAGGCCTGACCACCACACTGTATTTCTGAAGCTGATGTTGAATAATATTGTATGTCAACTATAATTATATATACATATAGTCACAGGATGTGGAGTAGAGTGGGAATGGAGTCAATGGAATTGTAATAGATAAGTATGACATTGGGGGTGGGAGGGCAGTGGATGGGGTAGGGGGGTTGTTACTTTGTGAGGGGTGAAAAGGATAACTATTGCATTGTTCTGTACACCTGAAACTAATAATAAAAAATAAATAAATAAAGTCACACACAAAAAAACAAAGAAAATATTATCCTATACAAATTGAATCAGTGCTGTCTTTTCATAAGTCACGTGGCCATACATATGTGGGTTTATTTCAAGGCTCCCTTTTGTGTTCCATTGGTCTATCTACCCTGAAGTCAATAAAAGAATAGAGTTTGGGGGAGGTATACTTAAGTGTAATAATGGGGGAAGGAGGTCTTCTGACCGTGTAAAGGTGTTAAAACCTATACCCTTAGATTATTCATACCAACAAGGCCCACTCTTCCCCGCTAGACAACTCCAGGATCAGTACTTCTGCTTAGCACTCTGGTTTAAGTGATCTTGTGATTCTGGATCCTCCCTCTTACTTTGTGTTTATTGCTTGTTTATTTCAATGAGCTCAGCTGTACATTTAAAGACCTGGATGATATATTCTATCCAGCAGTTCTGAATGTTTTGTAGCAAGAGAGTTTTCACTTTCTCTAATTCATGACTTTGTTGGAAATGGAAAATGTCAACTTCAAGGAAAAGGAAAATCACATAGCAGTGGGCTGAAAACAGTATAGGACATCCTATTTGGTGTTTATCATTACTTCTTAGAGATAAAGAGAAGAAGATAACTTTGATGGTTCTCTGGCTATCCTGAAACTATCAGAGAATCCCAGAAGTCCTGGTTGGGAATGGGCATTATTTTGGTTCTAACAAGTTTCTAAGATGCTGTGACAGCCCCATGAGGTCTTTAAAGTGAGCTGTCCTTACTAGACATTGCTGAAGCATCACAATATTTTCTCTTCATTTCTTGTTTCCATCATTTCTATTTTAAAAGTGGTTTATTAGTTTCTCAAATTTGCTCCCCTTCTTTAGAATAGTATCAGAGAGAAACTATGGTTATTTGGATTAGCCTTCAAAGCCTGTGCTTTACTTAATTTTAAGAAAAAAAATCTCTGTGTTCCAAATCATCTAAATTAAAGTGTGAATATCCCATATTATGTATAATAATATTTCTGTTTTTTGTTTTAAATACTGCATTTTTAGAGGAGTTTTAGGGTAACAAAAAAATTGAGAGGAAGATACAGAAGTCTCCCATATGTCCCCTGCCCCCTCACATGCACAGCTTCCCCCGTTATTCCTCTTTGTTTTTAAACCAGTTGGCCTTAAAAAGCTATTAAGACCACCTACAAAATGAAAAGGCAACCTACAGAATGGGAGAAAATATTTTCAAATTGTGCATAGGATAAGGAATTAACATTCAGAATACATAAAGTACTCATAGAACTCAATAACAAACAAACTAACAATCTGATTTTTTAAATGGGGAGAAGAACTGAATGGGGAGAAGACATTTTTCCATAGAGGACATACAAAAAGCCAAAAAGCCAACAGGTACATAAAAAAGTTACTCAAAATCACCAGTTATCAGGGAAATGTAAATCAAAACTACAATGAAATATCACTTCACACCTGTTAGAATGCATGTCACCAAATAAATAAGAAATAACAAATATTGGTGAGGATGTGGAGAAAAGGGAACCCTTGTGCACTGATGGGAATGTAAATTGGTACAGCCATTATGGAAACAGCATAGAAATTCTGCAAAAATTTTAAAATAGAATCATTATATGATCTAGCAATTCCACTTTTGGAATTGTGTCTGAAGGTAATGAAAATGCTATGTTGAAGAGATATCTGTACTCCCATGTTCATTGCAGCATTGTTCACAATAGCCAAGGCATAGAAACAACCTAAGCATCTGTCAGTGGATAAATAGATTAAAAAAAAAAAGTGGTGTACATATATTATAGAATATTATTCAACCATAAAAAAGAAGAAAATCCTGACATTTGCAGCAACATGGATGGACCTTATGGGCATTATGTTAAGTTAAATAAGTCAGACAGAGAAAGACAAGTACTATATGTTCTCACTTAAATGTAGAATTTAAAAAAAAGAAAAAAAAGCTCACAGAAACAGAGAACACATTAGTGGTTGCCAGAGGGAAGGGGCAGGGGAATGAGAGGGAAATGGGTGAAGGTGGTCTAAAAGTGCCAGCTTTCAATTATAAGATAAATAAGTCCCGAGGATGTAATGAATAGCATGGTGACTATAATTAATAATACTGTATTGTATATTTGAAAGTTACTATGAGAGTATATCTTAAAAATTCTCACCGCACACAAAAAAATTTTAATTATGTGAGGTGACAGACATTAACTAAACTTACCGTGTTGATCATTTCACAATTTATACATATATCAAATCATTACATTGTACACTTAAAACTAGTACAATGTTATATGCCAATTATATTTCAATAAAACTGGGAGAGAAGGAAGGAGTTATTAAGAGTCATGAAGGTAAAATTAGAAGGCCCATTTGAATCCCTATCCTGCAATGTACTGACAGATGATTCTAGTCTAGTTACCTACCTTCTCTGTGCTTCCATTTGCTCACCAGTTTAAAAAAAAAAGTGATAGTATAGCATGTATACCTGCCTCTTGGGGCTGAGGTGAGGACTCAGGAGCACTGTGCTTCCAGGTGGGTAGAGCAGTGGCTGAGTCAAGGGCAATAGCGATGATGAAAACACCAATACTAACCACCTCAAAGATACAACTGACTGTCTTTTTCCAGACTTTCATAAGTATCACAGCAACTATCTCTTTATTTTTATCTCTAAGCTATACCTCAAAAGGAAAAACAAAGCTCCTTTACTTACCTAGCTCATTTTTGCTTAAACTTGAAATATCATCTAGTTTTTAGCTTTCTCAGGTATCAGAGAAAGTGTCTTGTGTTATTCTCTCCTGCTCCTTTAACAAAATCCCTTTTTCTCTCTTTAAAAGGAAAATAAAATAAAATAAAACACCAAGTGGGAAAACAACATCCTCGGAGGTTTCCTCTAGCCCAAGCTGGCTTAGCTTCTATTTTGTTCTCCAAGACAGAAGAAATAGACAACTCATCGGTTCTTTGCTTTTCTTCTCAGAAAAAAAACATTTAGGCTAATTCACATATTCTGTAAGGTTACTTTTCTGCTAGTTTTTGCACTGAAAATCAAATTCTTGCCCCCCTTTTTGGACAACTATCAGCCAAGCAGAAATATCCATTGGATTATCACTCTGTACAGACAGCACATTAGGTGACATGAGGTATACCCAAGCCTCTCCCAAGTTTATAATCTAGGAGCACTAAGACAGGCACATCTGGAAAGTTAATTATACAAACATTATGCAATTAGTTCTAAATTGGTAGTATAGAAAATAAGTGAAGCCTGCATTTGTTTGATCATAAGTAGTTTAGTGGAAAGAGTGTGTGCTGGGGAGCCAGAGAAATGGGCTTCAAAAACTAGTTAGAGGGCAGGTTACCCAAGGGAGCAATCCTCAAGAACTTCAAGTGCCCTTGGCCTCCTGTTTGAAAGCCCCAGGGCAAAGGTCCAACCATCCCAATTGGAGCAAGGACTGGTCCTCAAATTGAGGTAGAGTGTAGATTATGTGCTTTGGCATGAAGATTCTGGATGGTAAAAAAGCAACCCATAAGATCCTGTCTGCTGTTAGGTATGTGGCGTAGGTAGAAAGGCCCCAAAGACATCCTAATCGCTGGAATCTGTGACTATGTTGCATTACAGGAGAAAAGGGATTTTGCTAGGATTACCAATTTAAAAGGGGGAGATTATTTTGGATTATCTGAGTTGGCCCAAATCTAATCAGATAAGACCTTGAAAGCAGAGAACTTTCTGTGCCTGGAGGCAGGGAGATGAGGCAAAGTAGGGGACTCAGATAAGTGTGAGAAAGACTTGCCTGCCTTTGCTGACTTTGAGGATGCAAGAATTACAAGCCAGGAAGCCTCTAGAAGCTGAGAATGACCCCTAGCATTGGCCAGCCAAGACACAAGGACCTCTATCCCACGACAGAATGGAACTGAACTCTGCCAATGACCTAAATGAGCCCAGAAGCTAATCCTCAGCACATATACCCCAGCCTCTCAGAAAGGAGGCCCTGCTGGCTGACACCCAGGTTTTGGCCTCAGGAGACCCTGAGCAGAGAACCCAGTCACACTTGCCAGACTTCTGACCTACAAAACTGGAAGATCATCAGTGGATGATGTTTTAAGCTCTAAATGTGTGGTAAATTGTTACAGATGTGATAGATAAGTAATGCAGTCAGATTTGAGATACATAAAGAAGAAACAGGGGTTTTCAGATGCTACCTGGAACCTAATACCTTGTCTGACATTTGTGTTGATATCTGGGTTTTCAAAACAAGGCCCCATCTATCCTCTCACTTTACCCTCTCACGAATGCCATGAAGAAGGCACAGGGAAAACTATCAATTTGCTTCCTCCAATGAGGAGCCCGTGGCAGAGTGAGGTTCATGATTTGCCCACAGTGGCCTGTCTGCTTAGTGGGAGGACAGAGGTTAGAACACCAGACACATGACTCCCAGCCCAGGATCCTTTCAGAAACCACCAGAGGAAAGAGGCATTAAAGATCAGACTGTCTACTCACCTTTCTGTAGATGGCAAATATGGTTCCAATGGAGGCCAGGCAGTCGATGTTGGAAGATCCATCCAGTGGGTCAAAGCAGACCACATATTTCCCCTGAATGCACAGAGGGAAGAACCACCCATCAGATCACCTTCCTATCAACACAGTCTATGTAAGTGACTATATGGAGCAGATGACACAATATCAAAAAGTTATTTAGAGCAAAGGGATATCTTTATCAAAAAATGCAATTACTTATGAATAGCAGAGTATATCAGCATATATGAATGCTGGTACACTGCATATGAATATATGCAGAGTATACAGCTCAGGGCTTACCTTCCCATAACAGATTAGTTGACACCCATTCAGGGCAATGGAGGTCCCACTGCCTCCAAATAGCTCTCCTCCTGCCTCTTTTGTCTCCTTCCTCCCCTCCTACCTGGGCTCACAGGGACTTGTAGCTGCTGAGGATGTGAGAGAAAACCTGGTCTGAAATGGGCAACTTGCAGGGAAGAGGTAGAGAAACTGAAGATAAACCTGGACTCACTCCACCCACATCTAGAGTAAGATCAGTTATGAATTTATTGATAATTCTTTCTAAGCTTTTCCCAAGACAGCTTTTTTTCATTTTGGAGCATTTGTGCCAAAAAAAGTTCAGAGAATTTCAGAGCAATGGGCCTCTGGGTCTGTCTTATTAAGATAGCTGGTATGCATAGACAGATACCTCAGGAAAATAAAAATAGTCTTTTGCATTTTGCTGCATCCAACCCACCTGTCTGATGTGAAAACCAGAAGACAGAGCAGGTAGGGTCTTGCAATATCATGTCCCTTGCACCCACCCACACTGCTGTCACAGGCAGCTCCAGCCATCATTCTGTGGGAAGAAGTCACCAGCTACTTTTTACAGGCTTCCTTTATGTAAGGCCCTCTGAGAGTCTTCATGATGGGGACCAGAGTCTCCTGGCTAATTAAACATGAAATAAAATAGGAGTCACTTCTCCAGCCACTAAAATTACTTTTCCCTGACTATCCAATGAGTAATGACCTAGCTTAAGTTGAGCTTTATTTCCTTTCCCCCCACCCTTGCTCAACAGGGGTGGGCAGGGGTCAGTGGAGAGGGCACAAAAAGTGGGATAATTCCTAAACTTGGAAATTTCTCATTCTCCCTGTGGATAATCCAACTTAGCTCGTTCATTCATTCATGTATTCATTCAACAGATATTTGCTGAGCATCTAGCATATGCTGGAAAGTGTTCCAGGAACTGATATAAAAGCAGATGTGGAGTATTCAAGAACTAGCATGAAGACTGGTGTAGCTCAGGCCAACCAGGAAAGACAATGGTAGATTAGATTGAAGTGGTAATTGAGGGTCATATCAGTAGAAATTGCAAGTTGAAAATAATAGATGTGATTTAGCCTAAATTACCCAAGGCAAGAAGAGTAAGGTGTTTTTCACACACCCTGGCATACAGTAGGTGCTTAATAAATTTGGTTTTACTTTACCTTTTCCATCTTACCAGCTAATCATACAGAAATGGCATTTTTGTCCCCAAACACCCAATGTATAAATCAAGGGCCAGTAGTCCCAGCATTTATTTCATATTATTGTATCACAGCTGAACATGGGTTGAATTTTTTGGCCATCAGCAAAACTCTGTCTAATAAACTCTTCACAAAACCATAGTGAATATGGACCCTCCCAGACGTGCTCTGCACTAACGAAGTTTACCATTATATTAAGGCAAGAGGACGTACCATCTTCATAATTTCTTTTCTATATTAGTCTGACAGTGTGTGAGACACGAAGAAACCTCTGCTGAAACCACAACCCCCTTGAAGTGTGTGGATGCAGGGGTGAGGGTGGGGTTGAATAGAAGTGGGGAGGGGAGGAATACGAGGTTGTGTAGTACGGCGGCTCTCCCAGCAAACTCTACTTGTTTACTAAACCTTATGATTTTCAAGTCTCCTCAAATGCCAGCACTTATTATGGGAACATTAAGTGAAAACCATTAACCCCACCCACTGAGGCATTTCGGTAAATCACTGTAATTTATTTCCTAAATGAATCACTGCCGTACTGTGGAGTCGTTTTTACTAGGCAGCATAGACCTCCAACTAAAGAAGTATGCAATTGTTTCCAGAAAACAAAAATGAAGCAACACAGGAAAACCCCAGAAACGAAACAAAAGCAAGGAAACCATCTTCCCAACTCAGTATCACCATCTAGTGGTGATGAGCGGAACTGCACCCGGGCTCCTGCACGCACCCTCTTCTCCTTGGCTGTGATAATCGCATCCTTATTCTCTTCAGAGACCAGGACACAGGTGCTGTAGGAAGACTGGAGCATGTTGATTACCAGGGAATTGGATAACACGTCCAGTTTCTTCACTTCATCCCCTGTCACGTTCACACTTCCCGCAATTCCATACCTAAGAAGAACAAAAACAAAGAATGCTGAATGATCAGACACTAAGACACTACCACATTACCACTGTATCCTCCTTTCCCTTCATGGCCCCGATATCTCCAGATTATAAACACAGACCAAGTATGTCATGTCGCACAGGGATGATTCTCAACCTTGCTTCCTATACATCTCAGGGATATTGTCTTAGTCCCTTGTTCTCCCAATGCACTGACCAGAATTCAGTTTTACAAAATTATAAATCTGCCCTTGGCACTGGGAGGTGAAGAGAGAGAGAGAAAGAGAGAAAGAGAGGGAGAATTATAAAGTCAAACAGTACCATAATTAATGACTCCAAAGAGTAAAGGACCATGACTTTACAGCCCTGAAATTTGAACATTTGTTATTTATCCTCCAATAGTGGCCTGATGGTGTGAATTGAAAATTGCCCTGCTGTAGCTTGGTGTTACTTGAATAAGAAGGAAATTTGAGGACAGGCTTAAATAATTTAATTTGGTTCTTCACTACCTTTTCAAGCAATGTTAGGAAGAGCACTACTATAAACTCTATCTAGAGTCTTTATTTTAGATTATTCATATGCAAAGGTCTCCCATCTTCCACCCTCAAGGAAAGGATCCTTCTAAAATCTGATTCAGATCACTTTCACCCACCCAGAGTTCCCAAGTCCCCACTGTGGAAGGGGAACACTTCAGGCCCCACTGGGAAGCCCTGTTTCCATGCTGGCAAAGCTGCTTGTCCCTCTCACCCTCACTCAGCCAGCCTCAGCCTCCAGACCCACAGGGAACACACCTACCTCATGACCAGACCTGAGTTTGCTGCCCCTCCCCCACACTCTTCCCTCTAAGAACCACATGGCTATCACTCCATCCAAGCCTTTTGCATTCCAACAGCCACAAAGGTCCTGTGGTCACCAGAACCCAGCAAACTGCTCTTCCTTTTCACTTTCACTTGTGGTGCTCCCCCATTGGAATCCTCCCCGACCGCCATCAGCTTTTTCCTACTGGCCCTCCTAACCTCCTCTGGAAACTTCTCTGGTTCCTCTTCATGTTCCCTTCACACACCAGGCACACCCCTGCCATCCAATCCACAATGGCTCACAATCTGTTCATAGAAATATCTTTCCTGCTGGACTGTCTGCTCACTGAGGAAAGCAGTGCAGCTACTGTATCTGGAGACATAGTGTCTGGGGACATAGGAGACGCTCAATACATGTTCACTGAATAATGAAGAAAGCTTGGCAGGAAACTAATTTCTCTTCCTCTCCCTTTTTAACGCCATTTATTTGTTGAAGGCGTCCTCAGCTGGTCTAATAGGTAGCTAGGGTTGAGAACCACGGATTTACCCTCAGGGGTCCGAGTCATTTCCCACCCTCTTCCCTGACTGACAGCCTCTCCACATCCCTCCCCACATCAATTGATGTCTGCTGTGATTTGATGTGCTGAGCCAGCTGCCTTGGAAAACAATACTGGTAGCCTGGCCTCAAAGAGAGTAGCTTCTGGTTCAAAATAAAAGCAAACAAACAACAACAACAATAAAACTGGATTATTTTGCATTGGAGTTTAAAGGGATTGCAAACCCAACCTCTTGTTTAATGTGGATTATTGAGGCGGCTGCTGCTGGAGAATGAAGAACTAGGGTGCCCAAGGCCTGTGGTGAATGGAGCTGAGAAACAGTTTCTCTGTCCTGTGCTTTACAACCCCCCAACACCCCACCAACGTCACCCTTACCCACCCCTCAACAGGCCCTCTCACCCTCCCTCCAGGTACTGGGCATCCTGCTGTGTCCACCTCCACCCACACCCTTCTTTCCAGAAAGAACAGAAGCTCATTAACAATGAGGCCTGGATTAGTTAAGATGGCTGTAGTGAGGAGGGCTCCCTGAGTTCTCCCCTGGAAAGCACAGCAATTTGAGCAGCTGGAGTGCAGCAAACAAACCTCTGCCAAGCACGCTGAGCAGTGAAGGGACTCCCACACCGAGTACTTAAAGGCAGACCCGGAGAGTGGGGGAAGAGGGAGGCGAGGCGCGTGGAGGCACAGCCCGCACCCGCGGCTGCTGAGACTTGGGGTCTCAGAGAGCAGATCGGAGAGTTCCCTGGCTCGCTCCCTGTACCTCCAGCCCCGCTAAGGCAGAGTCCTCAGGCCGGGCGCGAAGCGGACTGGAAAGAGGAGTGTGTGAGCAGAAGCACAGTCCTTCCGCACTGGCAACTGCAGAGCTGTGGGAATCCAGGACAAGGCAGAGTGGTTTACAGCATCTGGGCGGGCTCAGCCTCTGGGCTGACCATCCCCACTGACTGTCCCTGCCG